CACCATCAAAGAGTCTCTCCTCAATCAGGGTAGGAAACCAAGGTTCAGTTCTCAGGAAGTCACAATTTCATTCATTTACTCAATATGAATTTACAAATTACAAAGTGCCTGCAAATTACCAACTTCCACTTGCAGCCATTTCTAGGTAAAAAAGAAACCTGACATCTCTAGAGGGGCCAGCAAGCTCCCCCTCAAGTCTACAGCTGAAAGGACCTTTTTTGAAATTGGGTTTCTTCTGTACCTCTGCAAGGGTAACACCCTAAAGCTGAATCATCTTTAACCTGGAAGTCTAACATGATATTTAGCGATACTTTCATCCCAGACATACAACATTAAAAGGTACGCTAAATTCTGGAGGTAGCTATGCTGCAAAATAGTTTAAAATTAAATGATTGTACAGTATTCATTTATGCTTGAAACTCCAGTCCCAGACCAAGCTTGTGGCCACCAGCGTTGACATTCTTGCCATCCAGCAGAACTGACAGTATCAGTTTGATACCTGGCTTTAGGGTCTGAGTATATCGTAACCCTATCAGGCTGGAGCTATTCACTTTAGCCAAGAAGCAGGCATCAGGGTCGATCTGGTACTTTGCTGTTATTCCGAAGTGAGTGTTACTGTTTCCTGCTGTCCAGGCCAGATTAACAGCAGTCTCCAACTTGTTCACTTTCTGATAAATGGAGCCACCAGACTCTGTCCCATCATTTACATTAGTGTGAAGCTGGAACTCATCCGTCTTGTAGCCAACCGCAAAGTTGCTCTGGGTCACTCAAGACTTTGCGGTCTCAAAATTCACCTGGTAGCCAGCCAGCCCTCATAACGCAGCACCAGAGCACCCCGGATGGAAGGCCCGGCAATGCTGAAATCGACATCGCAACCCAGGTTGATATGTTCCCACTTGAACCCTGTCTTGATTTTAGCATTTTTTTTCCCCCAGTGTTTGGTGAGAAGGATGAATCGAAGGTCAGCTTCAGGCCACGTGCAAGCTGATCTTCCACGGTAATCTCCGTGCGTTGTCATTGTTCCATTTCTGCGTAAATGTTAGACCATATTTGGTCCATCTGAACTTGCTTTCCAGACTGCCCGTCACTTTGGTGGTCTCGGTGTTGGCTGAACCTGTAAATTCCAGTCCATTCTCAGATTTTGTTTTCAAATCAAGTTTTATTAAGCCAAATCCATAGCCCTTGGTGAAGACATCCCTGGCAGATTTGCCAAGATCAGCATATGTGGGAGGCACGGCCATCTTCTGCTCAGAAGCGGTGGCAGTCAGCAATCTTTTTTTGAAACTGAATTGATTCTCATAAAACAGTGGGGAATTTATAGTCATGGATGTTTGAAACATTTTATATTATTTTAGGTTAAAAAATAATTTACAAAATGCTGTGGGAAGAAGGACCAGAGTGACATGCTCTCTATTTTTATTGTTATAGGTGTTCCAGGATTTGGGGACTGAAGTACTGTCTGGAGCTGCCAAAGGCTACAACATATGCCTTTTTGCCTATGGGCAGACAGGCTCTGGGAAGACATACACCATGCTGGGCACCCCAGTGAGTATTGGGATTGGAATGCAGTATCTTCCTAAAGCCACAGGAAGCCTGAATCTTGCATTGTCTTTGCCACTGAGAGAGGATGTGAGTTTCATAGTCAGTCAACTTCAGTAAGATTTAATGGGTCCTATTCTATATTAAGAATGCATTTCTTCAGACTCACAGACTTAGAGAACAAATTTATGGTTACGGGGGGGAAGGGTGGGGTGAGGGATAGTTAGGGAGTTTGGGATTGACATGTACACAGTGCTATATTTAAAATGGATAACCAACAAGGACCTACTGTATAGCACAGGGAACTCTGCTCAGTATTATGTAACAACCTAAATGGGAAAAGAATTTGAAAAAGAATAGATACATGTATATCTATAACTGAATCACTCTGCTGTACACCTGGAACTCACACAATATTGTTAATCAGCTATATAACTTTTTATAAAATAAAAAGTTAAAAAAAAGAATGTTTCTCAGCACTTTAATTGAAAGGTAAACTTTGGATAATTAGCCCCTCTTTATTACACCCTGAAGAATCTTAGAATTTTACAATTCCCTTTGATGACACAGACCTTGTCAGTCCTTCTGAATTTCTCATATCATTTCCAAGTTCATCACCTGTAGCTTTTTAACACCTTTGGTGTAGACAAGTCCCAGACTGAGTGTTAAGTGCTGGCTAAGGCCATGTGGATATGGGGCTATGTGTGTGTTCGATCTGAGTGTTCAGAAAGAAGCAGGAGAACCAGCTACTGGGATGGGAGCTTTCAAAAGTGTGTAGGACTTATGAGAGCCTTCTTTTATCATGGAAAATTGGGAGGGTAGAGTTCCTTAAGAATACCTCTTTGTTTTAGGCTTAGAAGTACCCTGGTGAGATGAACTGGTAGGGCAGGTGACAAATAACACCACACAGGGACATTCTCTAGGACGTTGTTCCTCCTGAAAGATTATCCCTGCTGCCATGGGCCCAGATCATTGCTTACTACGTCCATGTTTAGCCTGATTTTATAGATTTTAAATTAAAAGAAGAAAATTCCCAATAACCCAGGGATGTAAAGCGCTTAACCTGAGTATAAGTTAGCACTGGATCCAAGATGAAAAAAGAAGCCGCTTCTCTCTAAATGTGTGTTTTGAACACCCATGTACTCTAGTCCTCTGTGTGTGCAGGGTTAGGAGATAGGGTTCTGGGAGGGACCACCATGGTAAAGTGAATTCATCCAAGAATGATGTAACCTTCTCTGCATGAAAGTATGTACCTGGGTTTGCTAGCTTCTTCTCTCTTCCTTCTTACGGCGGTGATCTGCCTCTCATCTGGTACATTCCTCCCATGAGAGTCTCCTGACAGCACTGGCAAATAGAGTCTTCCACATACCGCCGGGGAAACTGCCTGAAGTGAAGAGGCTAGCACAAGGAGCCCATCCCTGCTGAGGGTGGGCCCTGGGTGTTGGGGGGAGAGCATCACCGTGAGTGAACAGTAATGCTTTCTTCTCTTCTGTTCTCCAGGCCTCTGTTGGGCTGACACCACGGATATGTGAGGTATAGACTCTCTTTTGATTGGATCCCCTCAAAGTAGGTCTTCTTTGTACACTCCCTTCAGTGAAACTCCAATCCTCTGGTTTGTGCAGGGTCTCTTTGTCAGGGAGGAAAACTGTGCCCCACTGCCTTCCTCCTGCAGAATAAAAGTAAGGTAAGAACCTGTCTGTCTCTGCGGCCTGAAGTGTTTCTGTTTCCACTCCAGAGCTGTCCTCTCCACTTCCATAGTCTCCCAGAGGAATGGAGAAAAGCCACAGCAGAAATATCTTGCAGTACAAGATGAAAAACTTACTTAGGTTTTAGGTTGTAGGAAACTTAGTTCCTATCCTCAGGCTTAACAAGCTGGCGTCTCCTGTGGACCAGCTTCCCCTGGCTAGCTGGTTTCCTTTCCTTTATTTTCTGTACAGTTTCATACTAGCTTTTGGGATTTCTGTTCCAGCCCCTCCTGGGTTGTTCTCCAGGTCAGTAGTTCCCAAACTCCAGTTCCTAGACCAGTGCTAGGAATAGAACGTCACCCCAACATGACGTTTTAACCAGTCTGAACTGTAAATGTTGGCGGAAGGTTACCAATTGCCCTTAATTCTCTGTATTCTTTTTTGCTTTTGTTTTTGGTGTTCAATGTCCTTGTTTAAAAACATGAGACAGGGCTTTCCTGGTGGCGCAGTGGTTGAGAGTCCGCCTGCCGATGCGGGGTATGCGGGTTCGTGCCCCGGTCCAGGAGGATCCCGCGTGCCGCAGAGCGGCTGGGCCCGTGGGCCATGGCCGCTGGGCCTGCGCGTCTGGAGCCTGTGCTCCGCAACGGGAGAGGCCACAGCGGTCAAAGGCCCGCGTACCGCAAAAAAAAAAAAACAAAAAAAAAAACGAGACATAATTCACATACCATAAAATTCACACTTTTAAAGAATATATTTCAATGATTTTTTTTTTTTATATTTACAAGGTTGTTCAACCATCATCACTATCTAATTACATAACATTTTCATTACCCTAAAAAGAATAACTGTCTGTCTGGGGTTTTTCTGTTTTGTTTTTTATAAATTTATTTATTTACTTATTTATTTTTGGCTGCGTTGGGTCTTTGTTGCTGTGTGCGGTCTTTCTCTAGTTGCAGCGAGCAGGGGCTACTCTTCATCGCAGTGCACGAGCTTCTCATTGCGGTGGCTTCTCATTGCAGAGCACGGGCTCTAGGTGTGCAGGCTTCAGTAGTTGTGGCTCGTGGGCTCTAGAGCACAGGCTCAGTAGTTGCTCCGCGGCATGTGGGATCTTCCCGGACCAGGGCTTGAACCCGTGTCCCCTGTATTGGCAGACAGATTCTTAACCGCTGCGCCACCAGGGAAGCCCAACTATATGTTTTTAAAATTAAATGATTGTGAACACTATTTTTACATTTTTTAAGTTTATAAAGTAAAAATTTGCAAACCTCTATGTGTATAAACATATACATATATGTTAGGTGTTCTGTAGTCCATGAAATCTGGGAACCACTATTCTAAGAGATATCTGGAGTTCCTGTGTCCAAATATGAGAAGACTAAGGAGAAAAATTTAATAAGAAGAGTGTGCAGAGAGCAGCTTTGAACTGGAGCCTTTTTTTCTGACTGCTGGCTCCACAGGCAAGCATCTGTGTTCCAGTGAGGAAGACCTTTCTGTGAGAAGTCTGCTTTCTTATTTAACAAAATATTTACTGATTTTAATTAAGAATTGTAGCTGTGTTATTATTTTAAAAAGGCATAAAATGCCAGTAGATACCAATAAGACAGCATATCTTAAACAGAATCCCAGTGTATAAGACAGGTAAAATGAGAATTCTGCTACTTAAATTAGGGGTGGGGAGCAGACCCTTCTCACTTAGCTTCCCATGTTGCTCAGCATGGCCCTTGAGATGCCTTCAGTGAATAATAGAGCTCAAAGATCACATTTGAAAACCACTTCAAGAAACATGCTTGTAGACTCTATGCTATGGGGGCCTGATCGAGGCACAGGCTGGTGGCAGCCTAAACCCATGGCTGAAACAGCCTCTTGAAGGCTAAACTTGAATCAGCACTGACACTGTAAACCTGAAACTGTGGAGTAATGACAGCCAATGCTCAAAACCCTATTGTACACATGCAGAACGAGACTCAAGGGGGAAACCTGGCGTGACCAAGGTCTTAGACTGTCAGAGGTAGAACTAGAACTAGGACCTTCTGATTCTTGGCTTAGTGTTTTTCCCACATTTTTTCAAGATCTAATTATATGCCTTTTTCTACATGTCTCTAGCTTCCTGGAAATCTATAATGAACGAGTGCGGGATCTGCTGAAACAGTCTGATCAAAAAAAGACCTATAATCTGCGGGTCAGGGAGCACCCAGAGATGGGGCCCTATGTACAAGGTGAGCCACTGTGGTCCTGGAGGTCTGAGACTAAACTGAAGCCTAGGAAGCTCTCCTGACGGTTGCTGATTCATTCAACAAACGTATAATGAATACTTACTATATGCCAGCTACTGGTATTAGATGCCAAATAGGTACCAATAAGTAGAAAAGGCAGTCTTGCCCTCCCAGGCAAAGTTATACTCTTGTGGGGGTGAGTCAGAAAACAAGCACTACTTACAGTTGTAATAAAGGCTAATAAAAAGATAAATAGATACAGTGATGGCAAAGAACACTGGGTGGTGTAGGCAACCCATCTGCATAGTGTGGTCAGGAAAGCTTCCCTGAGGAGGTAACATTTTAAGCTGAACCTGGAGTGGATACAGGAGCCAGTTGTGTGAAGAATGGCGTAGCAAGAGGAAGAGTGTTTCAGGTTGAGGGAGCGGCATGGGCTAGAGCCCTGAGTGAAGGGCTTGATGGTGTCAAGGGGGCCAGTGTGTCTAAAGCATGGGGAGTGAGGGGGAAGGTGACATGGAATAGGGCTGGGTCTGTGGTGCCAGGTCCAGCAGGGCTGGGACTGATTCCCAGGTCATCCAGTCTCCTTTTCGGGGCACTTTCTGTTCCAGTGGTGGTGATAGTCAGGGACAAGGGGAGATGTCAGACAAGGAGCAGGGTCTACTTGCTGCTTCCTCATCAAGCACTGATACTTGGTGTTTGGTTCCATCTGTCTTATTCCATTAGGCTGAATCTTGCTATTAAGTAGAAACTGTTGGGTTCTTTTGTGGGGGAAGCTTATTTAAATCTTGACAAGGAGAGGGACATGAAAGATCAAGAGCTGGTCTCTTCTCTGATCAGGGCATGGCTAATGGCTGACTCAGTAGGTGTGCCAGTCACTGATTCTGCTGAGCCTTTTCCCAAATGTTCCATTGTAATTGGCAGCCTGGAAGCAATGATGAAAATACTGTTTACTTTGCTAGGAGCCAGTTGGAGATTCCTCTGTAAAACTCTGTGGATATATATTTCTGTGTAAAACAGTAATTTGAAGGCAGACCATGAGTGGATGCAGTAGTGCCACAGTTACTCATATTTTAATTTATTTTTATCTTAATGTGCTTTTTGGGTGTGGGGGGCGGGTAGGGGGAGTAACTAGAGGAGACCTCAGATGTAGTCCCGATGTCTTCGTTGCACAGAAGATGAAATGAAGTCTGGAAGAAGTTAAGGGATGTTCCCAAAGTTGCACAGCCGGTTGGGGCAGGGTTGGAACTGGGAACCTTTTCTAGGACTGGAAGAGAAGAATGGGACAGAATCCTGTACATGGAGGAGACCTATGATCATAGGTTCTTTGATTGGCATAGTACCTGAAACCCTGAGAATTCACGCAGGGTGGTACAGCTTGGGTCATATACCCAGCAACAGGATCAGACTTAAATCTCAGGGCTCTTTTGGATACCTTCATGAGTGAACCCTTGTGGAGAGGAAGGATGCTTGGTAAGAAATAATTCTAAACCAGCAAAAAGTCTCTTAGGTCCTTTGGGTTACATGTTTCTTAAAGTTGGTCTGGACTTTCTCAAATCATTACAAATACAGGTGGACATTTCTCTTATTTCCTAGTAAAGGAGCCATGAGCTCACATAGTATAGAGTCAGCCTTGGAAGCCGAGACCCTAAATAGTCACTCTGAACTTATTCCCATTACTACCCTCTGATGGCATTACAGCAACCTTTTTATTTTTAAAAATGTTTGCTTTCTTTATTCATTTAGTATTTATATTACCTGCCAGTCTGTCTGTCTATCTGTCTCTATCTTCGGCTCATATATTCTGTGAATACGATTCCAAAGCAGAAAGTGGTTTCTGCTTTGAAACCAATTCTGCAGGAATTTATTGAGTACTTGCTGGATGCCTATACTATTCAGGTTGCCATGGGGAAATATGAAAGATACAAGGCCTTTAAAGAACTTGTAGTTCCAGTTTAGAACTATAAGCCTGAACTTGATAGCTGCCTAAATCCAAGAAAAGAAAAGGGGTAGCCTCTTACTTTTCATTAAAGTTTATGAATTAGATGACAGATTAAGTTGAAATCTGAAATGTACAGGGCCCTGCCCAAAGCACACGTAAAAGTCCAATGGTTACAGGGTCTAAAGTGATATTTAAGTGAGACAAAGACACTATCATATTTTTGCTTTGGTCTTTATCTTAATATACAGGGATGGGTACAAAGCAGGAGGTTGTTGGAAGAGGGTAGTTGGGACTCTGAAAAAAATTATTTTGTATTTTCTTTATACTCATTCTGCACATAACAGGAGTATTTTTGTGTGTTTGTTTTTTTAATTCTTACACCTTTTTTTCCTTGCCTTTCTACACTGACTAGGACCTCTAGTACCATATGAAATAAGAGTGGTAACAGTATTTAGTTTTGTTCCCAGGGGAAAGCTTCAACATTTTACTATGGTGTTTGCAGTAGCATTTGTTGTTAATAGATACTCTTTATCACACACTTCTCAAACTATCTGTGAGGAAGGACCGGTTTTTAAAAAAATTTCCAATCCATGGCAAACAAATACTTTGATAAAATAAAGATGAATTACTAGAAAAAAAAGAAAAAGACATCTTAGTTATAAGCCCAAATTCTTCTTTATTAGATTCAAAAGATATAAAATTTGTAATATTGTTGTAAAGGTTTCTGTACCTGTCTCATCGCACATCAGTAACTGTTTGAGAACTGGCTCCAGTCTGTGCAGCAGCTTTGAGAAGCACTGCCTTAGCAGGTTAAGGGAATTCTCTTTTTTATCTTAGTTTTCTAAGAGTTTTTATTTTTATTTTATTTTATTTTATTTTTTTTTTTGGTACTCAGGCCTCTCACTGTTGTGGCCTCTCCCATTGCGGAGCACAGGCTCCGGACGTGCAGGCTCAGCAGCCATGGCTCACAGGTCCAGCCGCTCCGCGGCATGTGGGATCTTCCTGGACCGGGGCACGAACCCGTGTCCCCTGCATCGGCAGGCGGACTCTCAACCACTGCGCCACCAGGGAAGCCCAAGAGTTTTTATTTTTTAATTTTGAAACAAACTTTTGAAAAAGTTGCAAATATAGTATAAAGAACATTTTTTTATTTTTACATTTTTAAAATTTTTGGCTGCATTGGGTCTTCGTTGCTGTGCGCGGGCTTTCTCTAGTTGTGGCGAGTGGGGGCTACTCTTTGTCGCGGTGCACGGGCTTCTCACTGCGGTGGCTTCTCTTGTTGCGGAGCATGGGCTCTAGGCGTGCACACTTCAGTAGTTGTGGCACGAGGGTTCAGTAGTTGTGGCTCGCAGGCTCTCGAGCGCAGGCTCAGCAGTTGTGGCGCATGGGCTTAGTTGCTCCGCGGCATGTGGGATCTTCCCTGACCAGGGTTCGAACCCATGTTCCCTGCATTGGCAGGTGGATTCTTAAGCACTGCGCCACCAGGGTAGTCCCTAAAGAACTTTTTTACTTGAACCATTTGAGAGTAAATTGCCAACCTAATGACCCTTACCCCCTGATTATTTTAGGGTGTTTTTCTTTCAAACAAGAATGTTCTCCTGTATAGTTACAACACAACCATCCAAATCAGGAAATTAACTTTGATGCATTACTACCATCTGATCCTTAGAACCCATTTAAGTTTCACTAATTGTCCCAGTAATTGTCCATTTGAGAGTTAAGGGTTGCCTTTGGTTAGGGTGTCTCTCTAGTGTTCTCCAGTCTGGAAGGCTCCTTGGTCTCTCTTGACTGTCATGAACTTGATACCATTAAGTGGTGCACAATTTTGATATGTCCCATTACTCATATTTTTAATTTCCTCACTTAAGGTCATATCTGCCAGGCTTCTTCACTCTGAAATTGCTGTTTCCCTTTTGTAATCAACAAGTGTTTTTTGTGGGTGCGGTCCTGTGAAACCATGTGTGTGTCCTATCCTCATCTGACTTTCAGTTTATTTATTAATTTATTTATGTTGGCATAGACTCATGGTTTCTTATTTTATTGAATGAGTCGCCTTCTGTTACTACTATTTTTTATTTTGATGCTCCAATTATTCCAGATTTAGCCAATGGAATCCACTTCAGGTGTGTTCCTGTGACATTTTGGCATATCACCATCATTCTTTGAGCACTTCCTTGCTTTCTGACAGGAGATGTTCGAGGTTCATCTGCTTTCCCTGCCTCAGTCTTTGAATCAGCCGTTTCTCCCAGGAGCCCTGGTTCTTCTTTTTTTTTTTTTTTTATTTGTAGTATAGTTGATTTACAATGTTGTGTTAATTTCTGCTGTACAGCAAAGTGCTTCAGCTATACGTATATATACATTCTTTTTTTAATATTCTTTTCCATTTTGGTTTATCTCAGGATATTGAATATAGTTCCCTGTGCTAGACAGTAGGACCTTGTTGTTTATCCATTCTATATGTAATCTGGTCCTTTTTATTGGAGAAAAGTTTTTGGAAGCCAAGATCTAAGTGCTAGGTATGCTCATTGCTTTTGAGATGCTGCAACTCCTAGTCCTTCTGAGTGGACGGAGCTAATATATGTTCACACCAGTACTTCCAACTGCAGTCCGACACAGCAGGGTTCATTCTGGATTTCTCCCTTTCCAGATTTGTAATTCCTTTATCCAAAGGTGGAAATGCTTCTTTGATCGCTCCCTCCACCCCCATGTGTAATTAGTCTCGTCATTGCTCTCCTCTTTCTTATGTGGATGCCCGCCTCACCTGGCTGTGCCTCTCACCACAGGAAGCCATGCTCACCATGCCTGCATTCTAGCCCTCCGTGCAGGGCTGCCTTTCCCCACCCCTCGCTGTGCAGGTACCTTCCATACCCCTCTTGGCCTTGGTATTCTTTTGCTGGGCCACCTCCTCACGCCAACTTAGAAATCTTGTTCCGCTGCCAGTCCCTCTGTGGGGATGCCTTTCTCTCCTTGTTGGGCCTCTGACTTCTCACGGCAGGCTGCCCCCACACATGGGTAGCCTGCTCACCTTCCCCGGGCTCCCATGCCCTGCACTGGGCTGCCTCCG